GAAGAATTGATTTTGAATAGTGATATGATAGGAAATGTGTAGTTGAAAAAGAAGAAAAAATTATTGATGTGATGGAAAATATTATTTTATTGAAGAATGTGTGGTTGAAAATGAGAATTGATTTACTGTAGAAAATGAGAATCCCTCCCAAACAGGCCATTAATATTTATTTTTAATAATAAACAAATAATAATATGTTGCTAATTTGTTGTAATTCCGTTAGTAATAACAACGGAAGTCATCCGTTTGTAAAATTCTGTCACTATTGCCTCATTTTCTAGTAGTGCAACCACAGCCTCACCAACCCTAAATTCCAAATTCTAATCTAAATCAAATATCAAATTTTACACAGTTCAGATCAAATAGATGGTAAAGGATTTTTTTCCCGTTGGTAACTATTTAATATTTTTTTACCTTTACTTAAAAAGTTCACCAACAAGTTTTCTATTTTGGTAATTATTTTATTATTTTATTTAATTTTCAAATGGAAACATTCGTTGATAAATCAGTTGATAAATATATTTAATTTATTTTTTATTGGAAAGGGTAGTAGGAAACTGATTTTGAGCAAAAAGGGAAAAATGGTTTCGGGTTCAGTTCGGTTCTCGTTATAGACGAACCAAATCGGACTACGTCCAGCAATAATCAGAGCTCAACATGTTGAAAGCCCGTGGAAATGTGGAAAAGGAGAGAGGAAGCAAACGATATGTTTGTCGATCTTTGGAAGACCATCTGGCCGTGTACAAGGAGATCGTGGCTGATTTAGAGACGTTAGAGGTAAAGTATGATGAAAAGGACTTCGTGTTGATCCTGTTATGCTCATTGTCCGCTTCGTATTCGTCGTTTAGGGACAGGATTTCGTACAGTCGTGACACACTCACCATTGATGATGTATACTATGTTTTGTTCTCAAATGAGAAGAAGCATCTGGTTGGAGCTGCATCTAGGGATAAGGAAGCTCTTGTGACTCATGGTCATCGATAGAGGGATAAGTCGAGGGTAAGCTTTAGCAATCAGGCATGCTTCTCTTACAAGAGGAAAGGACGCATCAAAAGGAATTGCGATACATTACAGGGCAAAGGTAATTCAATCGTAAGTTATGGGAAACAATCAGATCAATCGGACGAGACTAAAGTTGTCGAGGACTAGTTGGATGGCGGAGCTGTGGTGTTGATTATATCTAACATGGAATCCAAGCCCGACGAAGAGTGGATCTAGATTCAGCTTGTTCGTTTCATATGTGTCTTAATCGGGACTGGTTTGAAGCATATGAAGCTGTGATGCAAGGTGGTGTTGTCATGGAAAATAAATAATTTTGTAGGGTAACTGGATATGATGCAAGCATATCCTATAAATTGAGACCGTGATGATTTTAAAACATTACAAATTCAATCTGTTAGGACCAAATTTCATCATATAACTGTTGTCGTCGTCACACAATGTTGTATTTCTGATTCTCTTTTTTCTTTTTTTCAAATAAAGATTTAGTACTTTTATTGTAAATAAAATTTATCCTATAAATTTTTTTTGTTAATTGATTTGGGTGAATTCAAAATCGGTAATTGAAATAAAAAAAAAATGAAACGTCGGATAGATCATATTGGTTTCAAATTTTTGTGGTCCATTTGCATTGTAACAAACCCAAATCGATTAAATTATTTGTCTCATAATATGAAAAATAAAGCATAAATTTTTCATATGAGCTTTTAAATATTAATATGAATTAATATCTTGCTTTACATTAAAAAGTAACATGATATAACACTTTATTTTGGTCATT